AACGCAGCGTGTCATTTAGTCGAACTTCAGCCCTCTCGCACGGCCAGGGTGCACGGCCGTGCGAGATTCAGGGGTTTCCCGTGCGTGTCCTCGGCATAAGGCGCACGGCCATATTGCTCACGTGCACGGCCGTGCATCCTCCCTGGTCTGCCCGTGCAGCTCCCCAGAAACCTCGCCATTCGTCCGTTCTTCGTCCAATCGACCCCAGACTCGCTCCTAAGCCTTCATTCGCGTACTAGGACCTGAAACATCACAAACAAGCACAACCTAGCGTGAAATCGGCCTAAAACACGAGAATCAACACCTCAAACGGTGTAAGAATGGGGGTAAAAACATGTGTAAATGACGGTCTATCAGCAGTCCTCCACTAGGTGATTGGAGCTCTCACACCACTGACATTGAGCTACTGGAGGTGTAGCCAAACCTCTGCCCGGAATCAGACTGTTGGGCTGCTTCAATGTCTGCACTAGCTCAGCTACCTGCTGCTCGAGCCCGGATCTGGTTTCCATGGCGTGCACACCACGGTCCCGGGACTGTCTGCCTCGGCTACCCTGTCCCCAAGAATGATCTCTGGCAGCCAAAGTACTGATCATCTGGTTCAGCTCGGGTGGAGTCTTGGTAAGAATATCCCCTCCTGGGCATAGAGACTCAATCACCCTCTGGCTATCTGGCGAAAGGGCACTGTAGAAGTTCCCCACTGTGAATGCATCACTGAAGCCTTGATGGGGGCACTGCCAGAAATAGCCCATATACCGCTCCCAAGCATCACGAAGTGACTCCTCTGGCTCCTGGCGGAAGTGAGTGATCTCCCGCTGAATCTCTGTAGTCTTCGATGCCGGATAATACCTGTGCACGAATTTGTCCGCCAGATCGTCCCAAGAGGTGATGGACAATGGGGGCTGGGTCTCCAACCACCTCTTAGCATTCCCCGCCAGAGAATGGGGGAAGAGATGAAGGCGGATCGCATCATCCGGGACACCATTCAGCTTGAACCCGTTTGTCAGCTGCAGAAAATGGGAAAGATGCACCCTGGCCTCCTCATTCTTCAAGCCATGGAACTGGATAGAAGATGTGATGAGCTGAATCCAGCATGGCTTGATCTCGAAGTTGTTTGCTGGGATAGGCGGGTAGAGGATGACCGGGCGGATGTCAGCAATCCGCGGAGTGTAGTAGTACTCCAAGGTGGGGCCCGGCTGCGGTGGATGATGAGCTCCATGATCCTGGGGTATGGGGTTGTTCCCCAGCACCTGATTCACCGGGGGAGCCTGCTGAGGATTCCCCTGGTGTTGATTGTAGTCTTCCATCTCGTACTCCTCCTCAGAATCACTGCTCACGTGGCCGTCTATGCGCTCTTCCGTAGCCAGTCTAGCTCGCTGTTGTCTCCTGAGCTGGCGACAGGTGCGGTCAATCTCTGGATTCAACGACAGTAAACCTCCCGACTGGCTACGGGTCATGCACTACCTGCACACACTCAAGCAACAAACCCGTGAAGGCACAAGTGGGACAAAGAAAACAAAGCAAAAAGAAAAAGGCTAAATTAACAGAAATCACTTTTCTTCAACAACCTAGCCGTCCCCGGCAACGGCGCCAAAAACTTGACTCGACTCTACTGTCACTCCAGGAATTGGCCAAGTGTAACCACTTCTTAAAGCGTAGTATAGCGGGTTTAGGTTTAATTATCAACCCGGGTCCTAGATATGATGACTACTCAGTGAATTCGTGTTATCTAGCAATGAAACTGGAATGCAAGTCTAAACTACCAAACAAACAAAGCAAAGCAGGTAAACGGTTGTATTCAAGTTAAGAGAGGTCACCCGGATATGGTTCCCCCTAGACTGCAGTTAAGCCGGATTGTAATTACCAAGTTCAGTTTCTATGAAGATTATACTGCGGAAGGTTCTTAAACAGCCTGAAGTCTCGACTAAAGGTCTTCAGACCCTCTCAATCTGACTCTCTAGCGGGCGACTAACCTCCACCGGAGTCGACAGATTGAGGCCCTAAGAACAAAACCTCCACTACCGGAGTAAATCCGGTACAGAATAGTGAGTTGGCTCCTCGACTAAAGTCACCAACTCCCTATCTTCAATCAAGGATGCTCTATCAACCTAGGCAGATATTCTCATTCTAGGTCAAAGCAGAAACAACAGGAATTTGATCAGGATTCAAGTCATTCAATCATTAAAACCTCAATCGAATATAATCAATCACAGAATCAGTACTTGGGTTCATACAATCAAAGCCTAGCATACAAATCTAGGGTTCTCCATACCCAGATGAATGGGAGAACTACTCCATGGAGAAGAAAGCAAAAGCAGAATCAGACACGGAATTCATACTGCGAAGGATGGATTCCTGCTTCTGGACGTTGATTGGCACTTCTCCAAGCTCAAACTGGCCTCCAATGGTGTTGAAGATCAATCTAGGGCACTTGGGAACTCTTGCTCGTCACTTTCTCTCTCTGGGAACTGATCTCTCTCTCAAAAACTCGAATCCCCCTGACTTGTGGCTGAAAATATGCTTAAAAGCATCAGTGGCCAAAGCACGGTCGAGGGCACGGCCGTGCTTTGCCTGAGCCTGCCCGTGTTTCGGCCAGTGTTTAATTACACGGCCAGCAGCTGGTTGAAACACGGCCGTGCTTCGTGATGTACACGGCCGTGCTTTGACTGAACACGGCCGTGCTTCGGTGCCCGTGTTTGCAGCTGAATCGGCCAAACTGAATTTGCTCTCGGCATAAAAAGCACGGCCAGCAGTACACGGCCGTGTAATGCCTTGGGTCTGCCCGTGTTTTGGCTCCAGCTCACCGAAATGACTTCCGAATGCCCCGAAACTCGCGGTTAGCCTTCCCTTTAACGCCTGGGACCTGAAACATGACAAAATAGCACAACCTGGCGTAAAATAGGCCAAAACACATGACTATGCCCCTCAAACGGATAAGAACTAGGGGCGCAAACATGTGCAATTACATCGTTATCAGTTGCACATTACTATAGAGACTGTCAATTCAAAGCATACCGAGCAGCTAATTTGCAAGGAAACACGTACTTGGAGCCCTCAAATTTAAAAATTTGGACAGTGGACTAGGCTCCAAGCACACAAACAGCCAAACACTCACCCACATACATAATCGAACATCCCCCCCACACACTTAAGCACGACATTGTCCTCAATGGAGGAAAAATAAGGAGGGTAGAACAAAGTTACCAGATCAAGGGTGAATGATGGTGGACAGAGCAAGCGGTGCATTCCAGGAGGAGAGAGTAGTCGGAACACAAACACCACACAAAATCTCACAAAGGTTGAGTTATTGACTCTAAAATCAAATAACAAAACTGACTCAACCAAGGAGAAAAAGAGAAAGAAATGCAAACCGACTGGTTGGGTTGCCTCCCAACAAGTGCTTCTTTCACGTCGTGAGCCGGACGATGGCTCCTAAGTTTCGGTCCACCCCAAACCTCCTTGAAGTTGAGGTTCTCGTCAATGAGGTGGAGTCTCAAGTCACGAGCATGTGGTATGACAGGTGATGGAAGCTCGTGCACTTGATGTGGATGAAGTCTCCACCCTCGAGACCTCTTCTTCTCTTCTCTCGTCTCATTGCCCCAAACTAGATATGACAACATCGATTGACCACCATCGCGTCCACCAAGAGGGACCGATGTCGATGTGGCCTTGGTATGGAAAAGAGACACTGCAAATGGGTCCTTGCTAAGCAGTTCCTCGAAGTTTGGTGGAGATATCACATGTAACTCATGGCCGTTGCAAGCCTCTTCCACCTCAACTTCGTCTTCGGCCTGGACACCAATTGCTTCTTCAACCTCCCTTCCTTTTTCATGTGGTATCACCCCTGGGAAATGATCAAGAACTCCTTCTGCTTCACTTTCATCATTCTCCATAACTTCGTTCTGCACCCTTTCTTGCTCTTCTTCTTCCAGCACGGATTGGAGGGCAAGTCGCCAAGCAATTTATTTGATGAGATCTTCTTGCATCTCCTCACTCATGCCCGCCTATTCAAAGCTCAGTGTGGGATGTGGGAAGGTGTGGTCGGCTACGACAGGACATTCCTGATCATGATCATCACAGGAGCTCTCCATGACAACTTCTGTGTGCTCCACAATGTCCTTGTATCCTTCTTCTTCCTCTCCTCTTCTAGTATGGTAGTAGAAGGGTGATCTGGAGCAGGTTGTGCATAATATCGCTCAAGATCATCGACGCTCTTCTTAATGCTTAGAAGGATCTCCTCTGTTTCACGATAGGCCTGGGTACAAAGATCCATCCTGGACCATGATCTCTCACTGTCTCGAGCAAACTGCTCCATGAGAAACCTCAATTCATAGTTTGGATCTGGATGTGGAGTGTAGCATGGCTCTACAGAATGGCCCGTGAAGGCCGCCATGGGTAACTCCAGCTCCGATGGCCCTTCTGGTTGTGGGAGAAATTCTTCTTGGTAATGAGGTTGTTCTTGATATGCCCAGTGGTCTGATTGTTCTCCGTAGTAAGGGGGTTGGTACTGGAACTTGATTGCTCCAGGGAGTCTCGGGGTAATACCAGTCGGATGGTGGTGGATACCCCCAATGATTGGAGAAGCCATGAGGATCCATGATTCAGATCAGCACCAACAAAAATAAAAACACCCAAGTGAAAAGCAAGGGTGGAAAACAAAAGAAAAACGCTAAAGTAACAAACTTCTGCCTTTCCTAATAATCTAGAAATTCCTCGGCAACGGTGCCAAAAACTTGACTCGCTATGACACAACTCCTAACAAAGTCCAAGTGGAAACAATGAAAGGGACTGCATTATAGTGGCTCAAGTAATAAATATCGAACCCACGGGTCTCTAGAGTTACTATTACTCAGCTTCAGTGCATTATCTAACAAACCAGATTAAGATAGAATAACTAAAACTACTCTAGCAAACTACAGTTAAAGTTAATCTAATTACAGGTTGGGAACTCACTTAGGTATGATTCCCCCTAGCCACTAGCCAGATTAATGATTGATGATTTCTAACTTGTTTCACTTTCATTCACAATGCGGAGAATCCTTGACTAGACCTTGAGTCTCGACTAAAGGAACAAGGCCCTCTTGAGTCAATTGCCTAGAGGGATGTATCCTTCTCTAGAACAACCGATCAAGGCGTTCTGAACTAGACTCCCTCTATCGAAAGAGGTTCTCAATCGATACAAAGCATTGAATCAACCCTCGACTAAAGCAATCGATCCACTACTATCAATGTATGGTGCTCTATTGACCTAATCAGGTATTCACTCTCATTGGATCAAAGCAGAATCAATAATCTCGACTAAAGCAGAATTGAATCATGAAAACATGCATAGATTGAATATGAACTCAAGATTATCATGTAAGAGTACTCATACAATCATCCAATCAAACAAACATAGCTAGGGTTCCTCAAAACCTAAGTGAAGGGAAGTTACTCCATAGAGAAGAGAGAGAATGCAGTAAGAATCTTCAGATAATCAATTTTCAAGTCCGGGCTTGTTCCTCGAGCTTCCAAGGCAAAGAAATCCTCCAATTCCACTCCAAGAATGCCCTCAAATCGCCCTCTCTCTCTTTGGTTCGTCCCTTGGGTGTTTGGGATCCAAAACCCAGCTCTCCCTTGCAAAAACGCACAAAACAGGCTTTTAACAGCCTGCGTTCGCGATCCCTGGTCAGAATACCCGGTCGGGTATTTTAGGTGGCGACCGGGGATTGTTGAAACGCACCTACGGAGACAGGGGGTTAATCCCCGGTCAGGGTCAAGAATACCCGACCGAGGATTTATGATTAATGCCCGGCCCCCTTTCTGCTTCTCAAACGCCCAAAACAAGTTTTCCCCAGTCTGCTCCGATTAATACCCGACTGGGTATTTCTGCCCATGGCCGGGTATTTTGCTCCTCCAGCACACTTCAACCCAAACATGCTCCTTTCGACCCGAAAATCGTTTCTTCGACTCGATGCTAACGCTAAGCCCTAAAATATGACATAAACGCACAACCTAGCGTGAAATCGACTTAAAACACGAGAATCAACATCTCAAACGGCTCAATAATAGGGGTAAAAACATGTGCAATCAATGGTCAATCAGAGCTTCAAGAAGAAGACAAAAGCAAACACAAACACACACATTCTCGCTCGAGGCGAGGTTATTACACATAAAAATACGATAGTAGTAGTTGTTGTTCACACACACACACACACTAATTAAAAGGAAAGAAAAACAAAATAAAGGATAAAGAGTTCAGAGTTCCAAGTGGAGAAGTGTGGCGAAAGAAATCGGCTCCGCCACGTCTCTCACCCGTCGGCTACCTCTCATGGGTCGAAGTCCCCTGATCATCGTCCTGAAGGACAGCCCGGCGTTGAGTTATCCTCTCTAACAAATCTGTGTTGTGGTCGAGCCGAGTGGTGACCCCCACAACGTGAGTCTCAAGGCGATCCATCCTCTCCACTAGATGATACTTGGAGGTGGAAGGACCGGCTCCAGATGATGATACTGCTGTTGGTGTGGAGGTAGAGGTCATGGCAGTGCGGCACGCCGACTGCGGCCGGGAGCTCGAGCAGGTGGCTGCTCGGGAGGAGGGTCCTCTAGATCAGGCTCCATTGGAGTAGGGTCGACCATCGGCTTTAGGGACGCCAAAGGTCGAAGTCCATCAAGGTACTCGATCCCTCTTTCTCCTGGAAGCACAAACTTCATATTGTAGAGTGTCTCCACTGGAAATGGCTCATTCCGACCAATGATGGAGCACCCCATTGCGTCCACATCGAAGTGTCGGGCCAGCCTGGTGATCATGCCCCCCAAGTGCATCGTGGCCACTCGGTCTAGCCCTAAACACCTGGCAAAGGTGGTAGCAACCACATCTCCCAGATGGAGTGGCTCGGCAGGGTTCTTCATGGAGTGGAGGGCAATCAACCCTCTGTTGGTGATCAAGTGGCCCGACAGTAGGTTGGGGATGATGGAATTCGTCAAGAGGGTGTGCAGAATCCTCCACGGAGTTTGAAGCTTCACGACATTGGTGTGGCCACCCTCAAACTCGTCGTTCTGGTGTTTGGGGTGATAGATGGCCCGAAATGCAGCCTGGTAGTGGAAGTTGGTGGTGTACTGCCTCTTTGTCATCATCACGTGAGTGGGGTCGAACCCCATGGCTGAGCCAACCCTTCGTACATCAACAACTGCGGCTGATCTCCCAGCATGAACTCTATGTAGGGTCGACTCCGCTTACTCGGACGGGATGATGTGGGAGAAAGTGGAGAGCTCCACGCAAAGCTCTCAATAAATGAGCTTGTCTACTGTGAGCAACTGGCGCCACTGGGGATGGCAAACAATCCTTGACATCGCCGCCTGACACCTGAACATGTTGAACATGTCTAGGTCAGGCATCCAATGAGGGCCAACCTCACTATACCTCTATTGCGCAAACTTGGCTCCGAACCATTCATGGTTCACCAAGTAGTGGATGTACTCATGAGTCGTATCAACCATCTTGCAAAACATTCAAACATGCACCATACATGGAAATAGCTGTCAATCTCAACTCATCGGGAAGAAAAGGAATTCCCCCCTTCCCACTTATGTTTCCACTACGGTACCATTCCATTGGGAATTTTCCACAATAATAGATTCAACCAATTAAGCTCAAGCACATCGAGGTAAGGTTCTAGGTGCTTTACGGATTATCCACACAATATCAAACCCGAACCATGCCACGACGGCTACCATCCACCACACAAACATCAAGTATCCACAATCATTCATATATTTGCACTTGGTGGCAAATTTCACACTTAAAAGAAATTGGACCTAAATCATGCTCACCAAGGCTCAATTAAACTCATGCAAACCTCATACACCATTCATTCATCATTAATCAGCTAATCTCTCACCCAATTTCTACATTCAATAATCAATTCACAAAAGTCACCTCACTACACACCCTAATCCGATTCTCCAACAATCAACAATGCAAAGGTCAAAAACAAACCTAGAGACTCAAGTAGGATCAAAGGGGAAGTGAGGAGAGGGCAAGGGAGTCGAAAAATCTCAAGAAAACATGTCGGAGAGGTGTCCCCGAAGCTTCGTCGGACGCTCGCCGGAAATTGCCTCTCCAAAAAACATCAAAGCCAAATCTCCCCAAAACTTCGGTGAAGGTTGCCCTCGACGTGGGAAGACTGGTTTTGTGCTTGGTTTTCGATTTTGGTGGCCGGCGATTGATGAAATTGACGAATATTGATGGAAAATCGTGGTTTTGCAGCAATTTTGAAGATGAGGGGTCCACACCCCTTTTATAGGCAGAACCCTTAGTTCATGGACGCGTTGATCAATTCACAGTCGCTATGACCGTGAACATAACTCGCAGCCCATGAACTGGGGTAAAATGGCAAGTTTTGTAAAAACGCGGAAGCACCCTGGTTCACGGACGCGTTGATCAGTTCACAGTCAACTAAGACCGTGAATTGAAGTGAAAACATGACATTTTCGAAAATCTTTGACTCGACCTACTCCACTGTGCCCTACCATCGATCACAACACATTCAAAACACACAATCACATAGACCTGGCACGGGGTTACCCATTCGACCACTTGAACTTTTCACTCAATCACAAAAAGAGAAAATAAGGAAAAGAAATACAAACATGTGTTGGGTTGCGTCCCAACAAGCGCTAAGTTAACATCACTAGCTTGACGTTGCAGATCTATCATGCTCGAGAACATGAAGCCACCGAGAGTGGATCCGCCATGTTCTCGGGGCGAGGCTTGTCGCCTCCCAACTTAAACTCCATGGGGTGGCCTTCTTGGCCGATGACCTTCACTTTGCCCTTGTCCTTTTTCCGAGCAATACCGTGATTCATCTTTTCCCTCCAAGCTTTCTTCCTCCTTTCTTTGGGTGTGATACCGACCTTAATTTCCTTCTTCACATCACCACAAGGAACAAGAGTAATAGTGGGGTTCATCTTGAGAGGCTCTCCTCCACTTGCATTCATATCATCCGATTCCACTTCCTTTACATCCTCACTCCTAGGCTTGGGTTCAATTCCAAGAGTAATTTTCTCCTCACCATCTCTTAGAATCAAAGTTCACTCATTAACATCGATTAAAGCCTTGGCGGTGGCAAGGAAGCGGCGTCCTAGTATGAGTGGCATCTCAGAATCTTCAGTTATATCAAGGATCACAAAATCTGTCAGATAACGGAATTTTCCCACTCGTACTAGCACGTCCTCCACAATACCCCTAGGACTAATTACAGAGCGATTAGCCAATGTGACACTTAGCTTAGTAGTCTTTAGGTCACCTATGTCTAGCCTCTTAAAAAGCTTAAAGGGCATCACATTAATGCTTGCTCCTAAGTCCTCCAAGGAATTTTCTATGTGAGTAGTGCCGATGCAAAGAGGTATGGTGAAACTACCTGGATCGGGTTGCTTTTTTCGCAACTTGTTAAGGAGGAACGCGGAGAAATCCTCGCCTAGGGTGACATTGGCGAGGTCTTGGAATTTTGACTTCTTGGAGAGAAGCCCCATGAGGTATTTTGAATAATGTTGCATGTGGGTCATTGCTTAAAGGAAGGGAATGTTGAGGTGGAGTTTCCTGAGCATCTCCATCAAAACTTCCACATTCCGCTTCCAATCTTTCTTTGTGCACCCTCGTGGGGAAAGGAAGGGGTGGCTTGTACTCAGCCACTGGAGGTGGCGTTGGCGATGCCGTCCTCACCACTCTTATCTTTTCTCTCAAGGTTTCTTCATCTCCATCCTTTGGTAGAGAATCTTTCTTCCTGATCACTTCTTTGGCAACAACCTCCAGAGTCACCTTCCCGCTTCTCAATTGAATCGCATTCACCCTGGCATTTTTGGTCTTTGGGGTTTACAATGGTTTGGAAAGGTAGAGCTTCCCTTGGTCTCTCGGTGAGGATCCCGACAAGACTGCCAATTTTCACCTCCAAGTTCTGAAGGTTTGCTTGATGACTTCGGAGTCCCGCCTCAACCGAGTTAAACTTGGATGTCGCCACATCCATGAATTTCTCAATCTTTACGAACTTCTAAGAGCTCATGCTCACAAAGGTGATCACTAAATCTACAAATTTAGCAAACTAGTCGGTTTGTTGTTGTTGTTGGAACCCTTGTCCACCTTGTGATTGTTATGGTTGTTGGAAGTTTGAGTTTTGGAAATGAGGCCTTTATTGTATGAAAGTTGACCGAGGTTGATAGTTGCCCGTCCGACCCTAAAAACCGGGGGGTCTCGGATTGGTAAGGGAAGACCAAGCGAAGTTTGGATGATTGCGCCACCCGAGGTTGTAGGTGTTGCTATAAGGGTTGTTCCCTCTTGCGTTGGCAATGAAACACAGTTCTCCTCGGGGATAGTTGCTTCCTTCATCACTTGGCAATCCACAACTTTATTATGAGTGCTAGAACACCAATCACAAGACATCAATTTTGTCTTCACTTGCTTCTTGTCCTCAAGGATCACCTTAATCAACTTGTCAAGTTTAGCTTCAAGCGGGGGACTCGCTCCTACACTTTACATTCCCCTTGAGGTACTTCTCTTTCCACTTCTTGTCAAGCCCCAGTCATACCCTTTACTTGCCATGTCTTCAAGCAACTCGGTCACTTGGGGTGGAGTCATGTTCATCAATTTCCCTTGACATAAGGAGTCGATGAGGATCTTGTCCTCTTGGTTGATACCACCATAAAAGGTCTCAATCTGAAACTGCTCCTCAAATCCCCATGATGTGGTCATTGTAGGAAGTAATTGGAGTACCTTTCCCAAGCATCCCTCAATGTCTCATCTTCCTCTTGCTCAAAATGGGTGATCTTCTTGCGCCACTACGCCGTCTTTGAAGGTGGGCAATACCGATTCATAAACTTGTTAAGCATGTCATCCCACAAAGTGATCGAGAGAGTCGACCTATTGTTAAGCCACCGAGACGCATTACCCTCAAGAGAGTAGGGGAATAACCTTAACTTCAAAGCATCCTAGGGGACACCATTGATCTTCAAACTCCATGCAAGCACAATGAAATGTTGAACATGCTCCATTAGAGACTCATTGCTAAGCCCATGGAATAGGGCACTGTTTTGAATCATGGTGACAAGGGTGTGTTTGATCTCAAAATTGTTGGCGGCCACGGGTGGATGTCGAATGGCGAGTTGAATGTTCGTCGGCCTTGGATCCATGTAATAGCCCATGGTCCTTCGTTGCTCCTCCACGGCCGCTCCTTGAGCGGGTTGATTGGCCGCCATCTCGGCTTCACTTTCTTCCTCTTTGGAATCAACCCCTTCCTCAACTAGAATTTCCTCTTCTATCCTCCTTCTTGCCTCCACTAGTTCCCTCTCACGAGCCAAGTGTCGGAGAGTGCGGTTGAGATCCTCGTCTAGTGGTGCCAAAGGTGTCGGATTACTCCGATTCATACACCTCCATGCGCACACTCATAAGAACCACGACACTTCTAGCACAAACAAGAATTGCACACACTAAACAAAAATTAAAAGCTAGATTAACACCAAACAATCTTTTCAAAACAATGGACCGTCGTCCCCAACAACATCGCCAAAAACTTGAATCAACCCAAATATCACACTTAAATCCCACATAAGGCCCAAGTATAAACCTTAAACGGGTGCAATATATGGCAAGTATGTTTAAATATCGATCCGGGCCAGCCCATGTACCCCTACTTTGATTGTTTAAAACATTGTCTAGCGGAATGATGTTTGTGAAAATCTCTATGATCTACAATTAAAAAGAAAGACTTGAAAAGTAAAAGGATTAAAATTCTTGGTGAGAAGCTTCACTCGATAGTTGTTTAACCCTAACTAACTACCATGACCCCTGGGATCGAATGAATCGGTGCGAGAAAAGGCGATCGTGAACCTCTAGGAGGATCAACTGTGGTTAGAACAACACTCTCAATTGCTAGGCCATGGAATGCATTATCGCCTACAATTTCCTAGGTCGGTAGTTCAATATGCTTCTTTGGGTAGTGCAATGGAGCGGGATAGGAAAACTCAAATAGGGACTCCTATCTAGCTTCGAGCTCCATGCTATATGCTAAGTGTGAATCGTGCTAGGGTATCACAGCATTGACTCAACATAGGACGTGAAAAACCTCATCTGAGTGAAGTTTCCACAATTGAATTCAATCACAATTTACTTGCAGGCTTATTTAGTTCATTAGTTTGAAATAACAAGTCGATTACTAGATAACGCTTCATTTACTTAAGTAACCTTCCTGGCACCCTTTGTGAACCCCTCGAATTTGCTTTAAAATGACATCATTTTTGTTCTTCAGAGTCTGGGTCGAATACTGCCCACGTGTAGCCCAGCTGCCGTGTCCGGTCATCCAATTTTGCTATTTAAGATGTTTTAAGTCTTTTCTGAAGATGAGTTCTGTCATACTAAACCTAAAACACCAAATATAAGTTAGAGCTTAGAAGGAAGGGTTTTTTCAATAGCTCTATACCAGAGGAGTGATCTTCGAGGAGCCGATCAAGACTTCCACCACAATGATCGATTATTCTTTCTCTCCTTTGTTTGTTTCTCCATTATCAATGAACTAATCCTTCTATGTTGTTTGCATTTGATGAACCCTAGCTATATCATACTTAGTTTATTGATTTTATGAATATCAATGATTTATGTATATTTTAATCATCTTTGATTTATCACATGAGTGTTAGAAAGTTGCACGCCTATTGTTTACTTGATTGTGTAGTATGTATGACGGGGAGATCATCCCCACATGCATGATAGAACACTTTTACATGAAAGGACCTCGAACTGCTAGAAGATAGAGGGTGAGGGACTTTAGGATTATGGTTAAACCTAATATATAGTTTATTGCATTAGTTAATTGAATTTAGGTCAAAGAGAATATAAGATCTAGATTGAATCGATTAATAGGGTGTTAATACGCGAGAAGATCGGGTTAACACTAAATTGTGAATCATGGATCTATATATGTTTAGTTGATGAATCATGAATTAGCTAGGGGATGCGAAGTCCGAGGAAAGCTTCTCTGCTAAAATTTGCCTTAATGTCTAAGTGACTCAACCCGAATATCACACTTAAATCCCACCTAAGGCCCAAGTATAAATCTTAAACGGGTGCAATATAGGGCAAGTATATTTAAATATTTATCTAAGCCGGCCCATGTACCCCTACTTCGATTGTTTGAAACATTATCTAGCGGAATGATGTTTTTGAAAATCTCTACGATCTACGATTAAAAAGGAAGACTTGAAAAGTAAAAGGATTGAAACTCTTGGCGAGAAGCTTCACTCGAGACTGGTTTCCTCCTAACTAACTACCAAGACCAGTGGGATTGAATGAATCGGTGCATGAAAAGGTGATCGTGAGCCACTAGGAGGAGCAACAGTGGTTAGAACCACACTCACAATTGATAGGCCAAGGAATGCATTATAGACTAAAATTGTAGCACTCTTGGCTCAAGCAATTGAGGGTTGACTTACCTTCTCCCTCAAACCGAGGTTTGGATAGCTTAATCACAATTAACCTAGGTGTTCAATTTGAGTTTAGAGATTTTCCCTACATTAACCTAGATAGGAGGCATGGAATGCCCAAGAAAACCTAACTCAATTTGAGCCTCTTAAGATAATGGGGTTTCCCTTTAAGTTAGGTTAGAATAGCATAATAGATTGCCAAACACACACTATGCACAATCACCATGAAAACTACCTCAAATTGCAAATTAAACACCACCCGCACACAATCATTCAATCCACACAATTAACTACATGGTAGAAGTTAGGGTTCTACAACACCCAAGTGAAAAAGAGACTACTCCATGCTAGAAGAAGGAAGAGCACAAAGGAAAGGGGAACAACCATAATTATGATGCCTCAATCATCCGGAAAAAATCCAAAACTACCACTGTTTAAAAAAAATTACAAAAATACACCCATTCCCAAGAATTTCCAAATCTACCACTAGGGGTGTTCAAACGGTTTGGTTACCGTGGTAACCGTTTTAACCGGTACTAGTTGGATAATTTGGTTTGGTTAATTTGGATAATTGGTTTGGTTTGGTTAAAGTTTTTAGCTTGTTTGGTTTAGGTGGTTTGGTTTTAGACACTCCTAACCAGTCAAACCAAATCAATTAGTTAAGTAATTAGTCATATATCTAACATATATTATATACACATACTTAATACTTTGCATAACCACTCAAGAGTTAACGTTTATCCCTTTTAGACTCATAAAATATAAAGCTCAATATTGCTCATATAGTGTATATTTGTATATGTAAAGTGTAGACCACAACATATGGACGCCTAATTTAGATAAATTTCATATATTATGATGGATGAAAACTTGATAGGAAGGTCATTTCCATCCTATGATAATTGCTAAGAGACTAAGTCAATTTACACAAACACAACAATTCATTAACCCATACCATTGTCATAAATTTTTGTTCGGTGAATACTTCTATACTAATCGTAAGATAATTGTCTTAGTTGCATGTATTTTTGTTAAGGGTCAACTATAACTAAGTGTTGATTGTTATGTTTTATTAATTTATAAATTGCGAATTGTTGTATTAACCGGAAAATTTTCATCGTCAATGATAATGTGATTTTATATTGGTCAATCTGGTTAACCAATTAACCAAACCGATTAAACTTTAGTTTGGTTAATTTGGTTGTTGTATTAGTTTGGACGGTTTGGTTATGATATTGTATTCCATGGTTAATGGAATTTAGCCTTATTTGGTTTGGTTATAACCATGATAACCATTTGAACACCCCTATCTACCACTGTTTATTAAAAACCGCTCCACTCAGGGGCGGTTAAAACAGAAACTGCCCACCCAGGCGGCGGTTTACCATGGAACCGCCTGGTAGACAAGCGGTTTTCATGGCTGCCCTAGCACAAACCGCGTCCTCTGGGAGCGGTTATGTGTCGGCAAGGTAAAACGCTCCTCAGGGAAGCGGTTTACCATGTAGACACATAAACTACTCACCCCGCCAGCGGTTTTTGCCTCGTCACCCGACATCCGACATGTCAGCATGCAGGAGGTTGCAGGGGTGGGGACTGCATGCCAGACTAACACCCCCCCACCCCCCCCCCTTTGCGGTTTCCAGTGAAAATTTGGCTATAAAAGGAAGGTCCAGAAAACTCAAAATCTTCACTCCACTCCTTCTCCTTCTTCTTCAAATTTCAGTTGTGCACCTTTAAATTATTTAGTTTTTGCGATCACGTTAATTCGTAAGTTTGTTTTGTATTACTTTTCATTGTCATTTGTGATTTTTATGTTAGTAACTTAATTACAGTTTTATTGCAGATGGCATTCCAAAGGTTCACGCTTGGGTTGCAGTGGAATGGTTACACGGAAGAGACCAAAAAAGGTGTAAGTTACGTGGGTGGCAATTTTTATAAAATGAAGGTCCATACGAGACCGATGCTTGAAGAGCTCCATAAAATGTGTACTGAGGTTACCTGCATGGATGGCACTAGAAGAGTTGATCGTATGGTGTATCGATATCCAAACAGACATGGCGGGTCGGTGTGGAATGAGGAATTTCTCATTACCACTCAGGAGGACATTGATGCCATGGTCCAATTTTTGACCACCAATAAGATTAAACAAGCGGAGATGTTCGTTTACACCGAGGCGGTCGAAGGCGGTGTAGGTCTTTATGGAGATGGCCAAACATCTGGTATCCACGGTGGCAGTGTATTATACGAAGATCGTCACCATCAGGAGTACCAAGACTCGAGCTGGAGGCAGGAGTATCATGATGGAACTGGAGGTCATCATCAATCCTTCCCATCATATGAAGAAGAAGCTCAACAGGCAGATGTGAACCAACAAGCAGGCTACCAGTACCAAGCCGAGTACAACTTCTACCAAAGCTGCGTTAGTTACCACAACTACCATTATGGAGCTGGTGAAGGTGAAGGTTCCTTTCATGATGATCATCAGATAGAAGAAGAGGTCAATCCAAGTCCAGTTAGTGACCTTGAGGTTGAAGAAGAGGAAGGCGATATCAATGCAGACAACTTCGATCCTCTTGAAGGTGCTGATGATTCCGGTCCAGATTCAGATGCAGACGGTGATGAGGTACCTCGCGACCGTATACCTATCCTTTACTTCAATCACATTCCAAATGAAGATTGGTATGTTGATGCCGACATGGACCCGCCAGAGGTGCCAGTATGGGGTCCACTCACTAGCTTTACGAAGGGCCAACAATTTGCAACAAAATGAGGGATGCAAAGCTAGGGACTGGGCCATGAAGAGCAAGAGAGTCGGCCATTGGGTCATATCCCGTGTGGTGAACACACACACATGTGTGACATCAATAACATCCCAAGGCCATCGACAATTGAAATCAAGGGTGGTTGCCGCGACTATCAAACATCTAACTGAGGAGCAGCCTGAACTCAAGGTTAAAACCATCATCGCCGACATTTCTAGTCGTTATGGTTATATCATTAACTATAAGAAGACGTGGCATGGTAAATAGAAAGCAATGGCCGCCGTGTTTGGTGACTGGGAAGAATCATATGCATTCCTTCCCAGATTAATTTTGGCTATGGAGGTGTCTAACCCTGGCACCATTTTCTCTCCCCGCTACCAAGATGAAGAATTCAGCCGCCGGTTCCTGGTAACAAGCGCTATTTCAAGCATCTTTTCTAGTCATTCAAACCATGTATTGATGGTTTTCCATTATGTGTTCCTGTTTCAAGTTGATGGAACATTCCTTACCGACAAGTACAAGGGTACTCTACTGATGGCCAGCGGAGCATATGCAAATAGAGCAGTATATCCATTCGCTTTTGCCATTGTGGAGGGAGAGAATATCGATAGCTACGGATGGTTCTTCAGAAAAATTCAACTCCATGTCACCAGGCGGACGAACCTAACCATCATCTCTGATCGCCACGCTAGTATAAGGGCTACCATCTTAGACTTGGATCCAGCCTGGAAGTGGTCACAGAGATGGTGCATACGACATTTCTAGAGCAACTGGAACCATCATTTCAAGCAAAAGAAGCTTGCTGATAGTCTATGGTGGATCGGTAAGAGTTCTATTTCGTTGGTCTACACTCTGAAAAGGCCACAAAAATAATGGAAAAAGATAATCGGAAGAGCTCTCAGCACATTGTCACTGTTATGAACCGAAATGCTGACGAGTATTCGGTCGAGACCGGGCACTGAGAGGATGGGAGACGTGGGGGTCATCGCCTTGAAGTCACCATCAACTTTAGGACCAAAAAGCGGGAGTGCTCTTGTCAGAAGTATCAGGGTAGAGGTATACCTTGTTCCCATGCAATGGCTGTAATAAAGCACAGGAGCAAAGACCCTCGTCATTTCGTCAGTCCGTTCTTAACATCGACTCACAAAAGAGCAGTTATGGTAAGAGTTTCCGTGCATTGCCGGATGAAGCTTATTGGCCAGTTTATGAGGGTAAGGTCATCATCCCACCAATCAGACTTTGGCGGGAAACAGGTTGCCCGCGGGTAAAAAGGATTCCAAATGAGATGGATCAAAGTGGAAGACCACTACGAGGGCCAAGGCTGTGTTCCATATGCAAAGTACCAGGGCATGATAAACGAAATTGTCCTGGACCAATTGGTCCTCAAAATCCAGGTCCCGATGTGGTGAACCCGGATAATGGCGCATAGATTGATTTCATGCATTTTCGTAGAGTGTATTAATTTCAATGGTTACGTACTTGTATTTTGTGTGCTTAAATGGTATTGGAGATTTACAAAATTGACACACTTGGATGCAACGTTCCATCTTTTTGAATAAACACATCACTCACACAAACACACTTCTACATGAAACAAAAAATAACTTCAAATAAAAACAACTTGTTTAACTTAACTTAAACAAAACATAACTTGAAATAAACACAATTTGTCACACTCATGCATTATTTCAACGATTCGCCCTCTGTTTCCTTGTGCAATGGGCGAAAGGTCCACATGGAGTAATAGGGGTTGGAAGTGGTGGAAGATTCCTATTTGCCGTAGAAGGACGCTGGTATGTGCTATGTCGCCGGGGTGCCGTGCTAGGTGGCCCCTCCGTGTGCGGTCGAGGACTATCAACGCTCATACGGTGGGGAATGGACTGCCATTGTTGCTGCGGTCGATGCAAAAGTGAGAAGTCTTGGTGGGGACTCGAGGATGAACCATCGGCCCAAGTAGCCGAGGATGTGCGGTCATAATGTACTTGGCCGGGGATCATAGTGGAGACTAGGCCGGAGATTGTATTGGAAACTCGGTCGGGGATCATAGTGGTAACCGAGCGGGGGATCGTAGTGGAAACTGGGGCGAGGCTCATGTTGAGTACTGGGGTTGTAGAAAGCACTCAGTCATGGATCATAGTGAAAACTCGACTGGGACACCTCTATTGACCGGGACACCTCTGAGTACTCAACCCTGCACCTTGGCACACCTCCAATGGAGTAGGCACCTTCCACGACTCAATCGGCTTGATCTCGGGCACGTGAGGTCGATCCCTTGTAGCCTTGTTTGGCCTTCTATTGACCGGCGGAGGCACGTGGAGGACATCTTCCGTCACCGGTCGCGGTGTAAGTGGTGGAACTGGCGGGTATCTGTGATGGTCACGGGAGCGCGCTCTCATACAGCCAAGGAGACTGTTTGCTATCCTTCGAATGAGCCCCACCTCTCGCCCCGCCGCCAAAGGGATCTGCAGTACGAGCGAGGTCGTGTATACGCTCGATGCCATCAACCTAAATAGCAGAAAGCACAACGTTAGCCATTTAAGTGGTAATGCCCCGCATGACTAAATATATTGATCTCAAAGTAAATAAATAAATTAATATGACTGAATTACTTACCAAAAGCTCTGTCCGCCGCACCTTTGGGGGTCATGTAATGTACAGATTGTCTTCGGTATGTTTCCATGTATGGGTCATGGTAGTCCATCCACCCCACAGCTGATGCCATCACAATATCCTGATCTTGCATATTATTCCACAGATCGATCAATTCTTCAAACTCCTTGGGCCAATTAGTAAATCCTTGTCGACCATCTTTCCCGTGGTACCCCTTCCGACTCGCCGAGACTTCCAATGGTAGGCATTGCTCACGTCCGAATTGTCGTAGGCATCTATCCGGCAAGTGCCACTCCACTATATGGAGACAAATTAGTGGCACTCAGGTGCACCATTGAACGGGATGCAACGGGAACTTGTGGATGTGATGCGCGACGATGCGTTCTGGATACAGATCGAACTTAAGCTACGAAGGTGCAGAAAAAATGGACCATCAAGAAACATAATAAAGCAAGTTGAAAATAGAGCAGGAAGTATTAGTGTATTATGATGGTTACCTCAGCTTCCCAAAGGTGATCTAGCCTCCTACGATACTCCTCCAGCTTATGTGCTCCTAGGTTGTCGCATGTTGTTTTACCAAGCCATCTATTAATATGGAAAAGTACACAATGTTAATACATACTAAAATTTCGTTATAAAAACTGAATTAGCAAAAAAAAAAAAAAGGTGAGAACTATGAGTGGGATAGAAGATATTTACCTACAACCATAAGCTTCATGTCGTAGGGGATGGTCGGGTCCCCATTCCTTGTCGGGGTCTACCTTCGGCGCAATCCATGGCAAATGCTCCCAAGCCCAAAATTAGACGATGAACATGGCCCCATCAATCTCCTTCACCGCTCTCGAACTAGCATTACAGAGGGAGCGACAGAGATGAGCTAGGCAAGCAGATGCCCAGCTTAGGTTTCACATATCATCCCAATCTCCAAATATGATCGTCAACCATGAATTGATGAGCTGACTAAGCCCTCTCAGTCTAACTACCCGGCAGACGACTAGTCTTCACCGGAATAGAAAGCTGAAGCAATAAGCACAGGATTCCACTACTGGAATTGGATTCCATTACAAAGCAGTAAATAGGCTAATTCTCGTATAGCCAATCTCCTACTACCGAATGAAGAAGCTCTAACAATCTAATCAGATTCTATTTATCTCAGGTTGCAGCAGAAATCAAGAAAAGCTGATCAGACTTCAATCAATTCAATAAAACATGCATCATTCAATTAAAAACAAACAGTATAATCATCCCAAGTCATTACAATCAAATCCCTAACACATGGAACTAGGGTTCTTCATACCCAAGTGAGAGAAGGGTTCTACTCCATAGAGAGAGAGAGAGAGAGAGAGAGAGAGAGAGAGGAAAACAGAATACAAAGTAGTCATACTCATAACAATGGGAAGAATCTGCTCTGGGATGATGATTTCCACTCCTATGACAATCTCCAAGCTCGATTTGATGAAACCCAGCTCCAAGATTGCTTCTAGGATGTGTTCTTCGTACTTTCTCTCTCTAGGGCTCTATTTTTTGCTCTCAAAAGTCGATTCTCTCACTTGTAGCCCGAAATTGGGTAAAAACCTGAAAATCCCGATCACACGGGCAGGCCACACGGCCGTGTGGCATACCCAGATGCCCGTGTGAGGTCCAAAACGTCGCGTTCTGATTTAGTGGATTTCAGGCTTCCTACACGGCCAGAGATACACGGCCGTGTGGCTCACCCAGTCTGCCCGTGTGAAGCCTCGCAGAATCCCACACGGCCACATTGCTCCTTCACACGGCCGTGTGGGTTTTATTCCTGCCCGTGTGAAGGCTCGCACAATCCCACACGGCCACATTGGTTACTTGCACGGCCATGTGGGTTTTGTGTGTGCCCGTGTGGCTTCCTCAGCGACTCGCCTCACGCCCGATCTTCGTCCAATCGACCCCGAACTCGCTCCCAAACCTTCATTCACGTACTAGGACCTGAAATATCACAAACAAGCACAATCTAGCATGAAATCGGCCTAAAACACGAGAATCAACACCTCAAACGGCTCCAGAATAGGGGTGAAAACATGTGCAATTAACGATTTATCACGAACCTCCAAAGCTTGGAGGTGCAAATCAAAAACCTTCCCGGCATCCTCCCCGAGAGACCCAAGGAGCCCTACCTTCCCAAATCGTGGCGAACCCCAACAACCATGCCGAGGTGAATGCACTTCAAGTGAGGATTGTGAAGGTGATTTTGGAAGTCGCCACTGAAGAAGTGAAGGAGAAGGAAGATACCAACCCGAAGAAAGGAGAGAAGAAGCCCTCGAGGAATGAGAGGAAGGCATCGCTGGTGGGGGAGTAAACGCCACCTCTTCCTTATCCCACGAGGATGTACAAGGAGAGGTTGGAGGACGAGTGTGGAGGTTTCATGGAAATGCTTCGCAACCTCCACCTCAACATCCCTTTCCTTGAAGTCATGGCTCAAATGCCAAGATATGCCAAGTACCTCAAAGGATTCCTCACCAAGAAGTCAAAGATTGAAGGCCTCGCCAACGTGACTCTTAGCGAGGAGTGTTCGGCTTACCTCCTCAACCGCTTGCCCAAAAAGCGGTCCGACCCAGGTAGCTTTACTATCCCTCTTGATATTGGTAACTATCATATTGACAATGCCTTGCTGGACCTAGGAGCTACTGTTAATGTGAAGCCCTACAAGCTTTTCAAAAAGTTAGAAGTAGGTGAACTTAAGACCTCTAAGCTTAGCATCCCTTAGCCGACCGTTAAGTCATTAGCTCGAGGGTTGTTGTGGAGGACATGATGGTGAGAGTGGGCAATTTTTGCTATCCGACCGATTTCGTGATTCTCGACATAAGTGAGGACTCTGATATGCCACTCATCCTCGGTCGTCCCTTTCTTGTCACCGCCAAGGCATTGATAGACGTTAATGAGGGGACCTTATTATGAGGGATGGTAAGGAGAGAATCACGCTTAAAATTGACCCTAAGGTTAGGAGTGATGAATTGAAGGAAGTGGTTTCAAATGATGTGAATGAGAGTGGAGGAGAGCCACTCAAGGCAAACCCCACCATTACTTGTGTCGCTTTTGGTAATGTTGAGCAGGAAGTGAAGGAGGGTACTATGCCCAAGGAGAAGAGGAAGAATGCTTGGAGGAAAAAGATGAAAGAAGCTTTGGCCCGAAGGAAGGAGAAGGCCAAAGCGAAGTTGGCCAATCAAGAAGGCCAACTCATGGAGCCTAAGACGGAAGGCTACAACCCTCGCCCCGAGAGTGTGGTGGATCCACTCTCGGAGGCATCACGATCCAAGTCATGATCAATCCCCAACCATCAAGCTAATGACGATAAATTAGCGCTTGTTGGGTGGCAAGCGAACGGAGGTTTGTTTTCTTTTCCTTATTTTCGCTTTTGTTTCAAGTGAAGAGTTCAAGTGGTCAAGTGGTTTCCCCGTGCCAAGTTTTGTGGTTTTGCGATTTACAGTTGTGTTGTGATCGATTAGGAGGCATGGTGGAATAGGTTGAGTCAAATTTTTCTCAGAAGTTTCCTGTTATCTCTGATGTTCACGGATGGATTGCTGAGTTCACGATCTTACAAGATTGTGAATAGGCAAACGCGTCCGTGAACTGGATGCTTCTGCATGTTCGCCACCTGTCGACCAACCCCAGTTCACGGACTCATTTGAGTGCTCACGGTTGCTAAGACTGTTAACAAGGCAACGCGTCTGTGAACTCCGAGTTGTGCCTATAAAAGGGGCGTGAATGGCGACTCTTCACTTCACGACCAAATCTCGTTAGAAAATTTCAAATCTTCGCCGGAAAAACGCGAAACTCAGTCAGCATTTCGATTTTCCCCCATTTCCGGTGAGCAAAACCCAAAACAAACTTCATACCCATTCTCCCCTCATCAAAACCGGCTTGTGTTGAAATTTATGGGAGATTTGGGCCATCTTTTTTCCGGTCAAGTCGCCGGCGGCGAGCTTCCGACGAGTCTCTGACGAGCTTCTAACGAGCACTCTCCGGTCAGTGTTTCGGCCGTTTTTGAAGGGTGAAATGATTTTTCCTTGAGCTTAGTTGATACTTGGTGGGCATGTTTGAACCGAATCTATTTTTTTTTAGAATTTGCCCACCAAGTTCTATGTTATGAATGTAAGTGTAGTTTTATGCTTTATTGGTGGATGGTAGCCACTGTGGTTTGAGTTGTGGTTCAACTTTTTGTGTGCTTGAACCGTGAACCGTGAATTACCCACAACCATTCCACGGTGAGCTTGAGCTTAAATGTTTGATATCCATAGTGGTAAAATAAGTGTGGGGGGAATCTCTTTTCCTCCCAATGAGCATTATTTGATGAATGTTTCCACCTATGGTGTATGTTTCTCAGTTTGTGCAGGATGGTTAACATGGACCACCCATACCTTGTGGCGCTAAGGAGCAACACTGAAATAGAGAGAGAGGCGTGTTTTTGGGCATCTTCGCGAGTCGGTAACCATTGGAAACTCGACTTCGCCCAGTTTGATAGGCTTCATTGCGGTGATGTTATGAGGGAGGCAGTGGTGCACCCACAATGGCGCCAAGCCCTCGATCTTGAAGATGACACTTACGGGGAACTATGCGTCAAGTATTTCAGCACCTTCACCATACACAATAGCCTATGCCTACTCGGTCATCCAGTACGCCGGGTCGAGTTCTGATTGAGAAGGGAATTCGCAATTTGATCTATGACGAGTTAGCAAGAGCCCTCGGAGTGGAAGCCAAACATGAGGACGATTGGGAGGAATATGCCATCCAAAGTTTCGACGTGAATGCCACATTTCTGAAGTTTTGTCTTCCAAAGTACCCAAGGACAAAGTTTAATTCGGCCCTCACAACGACATCCACACTCCAGCCCCAGTGGCGTGTTATCGTTTCACTCCTGGCTCGATCCCTGTACCCGGCTTACCACAACCCGAACAAGAAAACTGAGAGAATCTTATTGGCTTGTTCCTGCATGGTGGACCTATCTAGCACTCTGCACCTGGGTTCAGTCATAGCCACTTCTTTTGCCAAGGCCAATGGGGGGAACCGTCGTTATGTCACATCAATGGGTCCCTACCTGCCTTGCTCGATACTTTAATGTCAGCCTTGCAGGGTGCTCGAAAGAGGGGCACACCAAGAGATTTGACGAGTGCACTCTACACTCCATGCTCTTATTGTGCACCTTTGGCCTAATGCAATACATTGAGGGATTGAGTCCTGACTCCGAGGTCCCACCACTAGCAGAGCAGCCACCTGCTCAAGCACCCGGCCGCCGTCGGCGTTCAGCGCTCCAGCGCCCAACACAGCCACTACCACTAGCAGCAGGTGATCCCCTCGTCCAGAGGGTGGATCACCTTGAGACGAGCTTCGTGGGATTCTCTTCCCGCCTGGACCGGCGGACTGACATCCTCGAGCTTATGGCTCAACGCCAGGACATCCTACCAAATGAGGTCGCGGGTCCTTCCACCAGAGAGAGGTAGCCGACGAGTGAGACATGTGGCAGAGCTGAAGCCTTTCGCCCCACTTCTCCACTTGTAACCCTGAACTTATTTTTGGTTGTTGTTGTTTTTGTTATTTTTCTTCATTGTGTGTGTGTGTGTGACATAAACCACTAATATCGTATTGTTTTTGTAATAACCTCGCCTCGAGCGATTCGTATTGTGCTTGTGTGTGTGTTTTTTGTCTCTCCTTGAAGCTCAAAATATCCTACCCTGGATTCAATTCCAACTTTCACTCATCAAGCCCAAGCGGTAACATCATTCTACCCCTTTCTTACGCCATTAAGGGCAATGTCGAGTTTAAGTGTGGGGGGTAGTTTACTATTATGCTTGTGTGAGTGTGATGGATGCTTGGATCCTTCATATATTCCCAAATTTCAAAAATTTGAGGGCTCAAAGCAATGTTTGCATGATCAAAGTGGCCGGTGTGTGAGAAACTCTTGGTTTTATTGACATTGATCTTGAATTGTTGCATGTGATCGAGTATATCGTATGATGATGACTGAGAGGTTCATTAGGATATTGCACAAGTTTAGTTCTCATGTGTGCATAAATGAATGGATGTCTTGACTCGATTACTTGTTGATTGAAATTGCCATGCATTGTGTTTGTGAATTGGAATAGATGGTTGGGTGACTAGGTAGCCATGTGAGCTTTGAGCCGATCGTTTTCTTCTTGTGTGCTAAGATCCCTCTTACCATGGCAAGTAACATCATAGTTGTCACTAGTGAGTATGATGGAGGCATATGATTAGTCCATGCCCAAATGTTGATTGTCCCGAAATGTGTTATCCACTTGTCAACCCCTTTGAGCCTTGTGACTTCGAGGGTCGTTCTTAAGTTATGAGCTTCGTGCTTGTGAGCTTAATGGTGTTTATAGAACGACCCCCAATCATTTCTTCATGTCAAAACATGAGTCGTCCATGTGTCCCGGAGCTCTCACTTTTGAGTTTCCATTGAGGTTCTACGTTGGAGGTTTGTGTGTGGTTCTTGATAGGAATGAAAAATGAAGTGTAGTGTTGGAGTGAGTTCCTCAAAAAGAGAGCATTGGTCTTTCAATGTATAGGTGGCAAGTGCTTTTACTCTCTAGTACTCCCCTCAAAAAGAAAATAAAATAAAAAGAAATAAAAGAAAAGAAAAGAGAAACGAAACGAAAAAGAGGTAATAAAATGGGGTAAATAAAGTAGGAGTGCCACGGAAAACCAAAGTACATGCTCTAGGAGGGGTTTCTTGGCACCCAAGCCATTGAAATCCCCACATTGTTTTAGAAATCCTTCACTAACAAACCTTAATGTGCTACCAAGAGTTGACCGAGGAAGAGTGCTTTGATGTAGTTCACGATGGGTGATAGTTTGGAAGGGGAGACAAGGTTTTTGGCTGATGCTAGTGGCCTTGGATTGTAGAGAAGGGTTTTAGTCGAAACCATAGAACCGTCGGGTTTAGGTTGATGATGTAGAACCTCACGTCATGATTGCCACCACCCAAAAAGCCTTTTTCCCATGTCCAAGACAATTGTCAGTCATCTGAACCCGTGTCTAAGACCTGTAGACAAGCTAGTGGTGACAACCATCCCGTGAACTCTAGCATTTAGAGGTTAACGCCATGGTATTGAGACGATAGGGCCGAGAGTTTATGATTGTGCACTTCTTTTGCACCCAAAAGGTCTCGACCCCACTGGTCTTGAGAGTGAGTGATTCATTCTTGCTTTGCATGTCATATCGTAACCACGGAGAGGACCTTTGTTGCCTTTCCATTTGTTCCTCTGATACGCCCCTAGGGGTGTCTATTATCAAAGTCACGTAGCTAACGACTCAATCGAAGAATCGATTGAGCTCGAATCAAGAACGAAGCGTTCTTAATACGAACTTGGATAAAACGGAACCAAAAGGACAAATCCACACCTGGGAATAGCTCGATTGGTATAAAAGGGTAGTTGCTCGACCACGATTGAAGTGAATATTCAATCGATACACAAGCTCAGCAAGTTTGGAATACACCAAACCCAAACAAGTTCGCAAACTTGAACAAACGAAACAGTTTCTTTTTATTCAATCAACTCTGAATTTTTACAACGAAATAGAACGGTATTTAAAGGAAAATAAATCCTAATACAACTAGGCAGCAATTAAGGTAAAATTCTACACTAAAAAGGACACAAAATTCGGGTTTAAACTCCCTTTCTTGAAGCACAAGCAAGCTGCCTGCAAACTGTCAAAAGGCAGCTTTCGTACTAACTTTGCGCCTTTTGTTCGAGGCCTTCCAGAACTCCAATTCTTCATCCAATTCCTTCTCTTTGTTCACAAACATACCTAGTTTCATGTTGAGGAAGCCCTTTGACTTGAATCTCATCCATGATCCTTGAATTGAGCTCCAAAGTAGGCTTCACAAAACAGTTTTCTGCCTTGGTCATTTTCTGGCAGTTTTCCAGTTTTGAGGTAGCAACTTTGAGGTTTTAGAAACAACCTTAATGACATCTTCCTAATTCAAAAAGCATACCATTGGAAACATGGCTACTTAGTTTGTAAAACAAGCCCTTGAAATACAATTTTCACTGAGCCAATTGTGAGAACGATGCCTCCACAGTAGGCATCTCGAAACTGTCCCAACAGTTAGCCAAATGCTGCCTTTCTTCTTCCCAACTTCGATAGCTTATTTGTCAAATAATTGTTATGGTAATGGTTGGCAATTTGAGATCATATCATCATCGGACTTGAATTCCATGCATGGTTGGTTGTAGTTGATAAGTGGTCTTGTTGAGACGTGCATTGATCCGTGAACAAGGTGAGAACTTTTCGTTTGCTCGTTTTTGGTGGCTTCGAATGTCGTTCGTGGTGGATATCATTATTGCTTGCAACGGTCCATGTATTGAGTGCCAATAGCCATTGAGAATTCCCACTTTGTGCCCTTTGAGTTGTCCCCAAAGTATTTGTGTAGGTTGAAATATTACCTTTTGTGAAATGGTTTGCTTGGGGACAAGCAAACGTCTAAGTGTGGGGGAATGATTCGGGCCTAATTGTACATGGTTTGCCCCAGTTTTCCTTAGTTGTTTGTGGCAACTTCGCTCCTAAAAGGTTGGTTTTACGCTAGGTTTCTCGTGTTTTAGTGTGTTTCAGGATTTAATAGGTGAAACCAGCCTGGGAGTCGAAAGTTGGACGAAAAGGATCGAAAACCGGGAGAAGAGGTGAAAAAGGGCGAGATCACGGTTTTCTTGGGATTTTCACGATCTAACATGATCGTGAAGAAGAGCCATTGGCCGTTGTCGCAACCGTTCCTCCAGGGTTCGTCAGGGGTCGCGTTCACATTTTTGGGAGTCGCCATCGATCTTACTTGGAGTTGATTGAACAATCTTCGAATCGGTTATAACCTTAGGGTCAGAACCGAGATATGGTATGCGATTAAAATATTTGGGTTCGGGAGTATGGTTACGTGTGGGGAAGTTAAGCAACACCCCCCACAACGCCCTAAATCGGTACTACTTAAGTTGATAAGTTTTTGTATGAGTTGGGTGTATTTTAGTAATTATGTATTTTCAAATCCCAATGGACCATAACTATATTACTATTTCATTAGGTATAATTTAACCAAACGTCCATTGACGTATTAGTTCAGTATTACATATTTTAGGTGTTTTTAGGGCCTTACCGGACCATTAAAGAAATTAATTCGTATTAATTGTAATTTAATTATATGCCCAGAGACGTAAAAATTAAAAGATTAAGTTAATTGGTTAGTCGGACTCGAACCTTATCGGGTGCATACATACCCGTTAGACGGGATCAAAGTCCACGTAGTTCGTTGTAACTTTGATAATTTTAAGATATGACTTTTGTCACGTTACACTTATAGTGGTTCTCGTATTAAGGATTTTGTTAAATTTGATAGTTTTAATCATAAATTTTATCACGTTCCACTTGACGTAATTCTCGCATTTTAATTTTGTTAATAAAATTTAGATTATTGTGATCTTACTAAAATCAATGCAAGGATTTTAATTATTAAGAAGAAATTTGATGTATTAGAAAAGAAACAAGATAAACTTAATCCGCATTCAACATTTCGTACTAAGGATTTTAAAACCAATAAAATTAAATGGGATGATTGCATTTATGCATGACAGGCCAGCAGCCCAACTGGTTAACATCTCGTATATGGATGCCCGAGGACCCGTGTTTGAAACTCTGTGAGCATTTATTTTAGTCATTTTTATTTTTAATACAGAGACGAAGCGGGGATAGTTTGGTCATTCCACGAGAACACGGTGGCATGACCCGTTAATTTTTGGTAACCCTAACGGCAATATTGTCAATTAACATGTTGAGGTATATAAACCTCTTTTTTGGAAACCCTAAACCTAAGCAAAGAGGCAGCTGCCTCTCACCCCTCCCTCTCTCGATTCTTCTCCTCTCGCCTCTCTTCTTCAGAGAAGCAAAACCCTAGCCTCTCTCTCCTCTCCCCTCTTGTATTCTACCCTCAACTCTCCCCTCTTCATACGCTCGCCTCCCTCTCTTCTTCCTCCCTCTCACGCTTTCTTCTTCTCTATCCCAAAAAAGCAAAAACCCTAACCTCTTTCTATGTCGTCGCCATCCTCTCCTTTCGATCTCTCTGCCAGAAATTGCACTCTCTCTACCCCTTGTTAATCACTCCGCCTCGTTTGAGATGAAAGGGGAAGCACGAGGAGCCTCTCCATCTACCTCGTCTTACCCAGAATATGCCACAGATCGGGTAAGATCGGGACATGCATGGTTCTGTTTTCCATTTCTTTGATTTTAATTCAGACTTTTCTAATTTCCTGGCTTCTGGGTTTTGGTTTTGTCGAGGAAAGACTAAACAGGATAGAAGTCGTCGGCGATGGAGTTATTTCATCAATGACAAGTAGATCTGGGTGAGGTTTTGATATGAATGTGTATTCCTTTGGTTTTCTATCTCAAAAACCCGTTGATAATGATGTAATTGCACATGTTTGCACCCCTAGTTCTTATCTGTTTACGGGGCGTAGTCATGTATTTTTTGCCTATTTTACGTCGGGTTGTGCTACTTTGTCATATTTCAGGTCCCAGACGTCGAATGAAAGGCTAAGCACGAGTTTCAGGGCATTTGGAAATCATTCGGTCGAGCTGGGGCCAAAGCACGGGCAGGAGCCCTGAAGTGCACGGTCGTGTACACCAAAAAGCACGCTAGTGTTTTCTATTGCGGAGAGCTGAAATGATGAGAAGGCCAAAGCACGGGCGGGAGTGACAGAAAACACGGTCGTGTCCAACTTTAGGCACGACTGTGTTTTCCCCAAGATGTGGGCGTGTTTTTAATACGTGGCAAGGGCACGGGCGGACAAAAGCAAAGCACGGTCGTGCCCTCGACCGTGTTTTGCCCAGGGTCGGCCTTTTTAGGCAGATTTGAGCCAAAGGAGAAGGGGTTCCGAGTTTTAGAGAAAGAAAGCGATTCCTAGAGAGAGAAAGCGACGAACCAGAGTTCCCAAGTACCCTAGCTTGATCTTCATCACCATTGGAGCTCGGCTCAGACTTGGAGAAGTGCTGATTGACGACCTGGAGCAGAAACCCATCCTTCCCAGCATGATT